GCCTTATCAAATATTTAGTTGAGTGCCGGCACGCACTCGCCAGTTCGTTCCTTTTGTTTAGGGTGCCCGCCCCTGTTCTGCATATGATAAAGAATTTTTCAGCTATGCAAAGATTGCATCTCTTTGTAGTATTTGAGTACGGCCTGGCGCGAGCTATTATTTTCCAGGTCATGGAAAACTCCGTTTCAGCATCCTTTAGGGAACAGTTTTACAATTTGCTCAACTCTGTTGCGTTCCTTTTGTTCTCATGTCTAAATGAAGCTCTATGACTTCTAAATCTTGTTTTAAATTGGTTCGTAGTAAGGCCGACGTACGTTTGGGTTCCCAAGAGACTTCCAACTGTGGCCTGGTAGACCGCATTTTGAACTAGGCAATTGCCACGTAGCGGGCGAGAGTGTTTGTCTCTACAATTGCATGATTTTTCTTGTGATTGAGAATAATTTGCGAGGGAGGACTTGTTGTGGGCGTCGATTTTTCTTTCTAAATTTGGCATGCATGGATAGCTTACTTTCAAAGTGTTCCTATTAAAAATTTTTCTAAGCGGGTGCCCTGGTGAAAAGGATTCTTTTACGATGCCTAAATTTTTTTTCCCACCTTAGTAGCAACGTTCTTACTAAAAGGTGGGTTATACCAAGTTATATTTCGGTGTCTTCCTCTCCCTTCTGTACTCCTCTGCTCTTTAGTTGTGTCAAATTGTAGTTAATGATTATAGCCACTTGCTTCTAACGCTTGCTGATACTTGGGTGCTGCATTGTCGAAGGATACCCTGTCCGATGAGATTTCGTTAAGCCTTTTATTGATCGCCAGGGGAATGTTCTTTAGGATGGAAGGTGGGTGATTACTATCACGGTGCACATACAGAGGTGTGTTGTAAGGCTTTGAATATGGCTCATGAGATCCTTTGTTTAGGTTCAAAGTGACATCAAGAAAGTTGACTCTTTTTTGTTTGCTTCGATAGTTATTTTCAAGCCGTTGGTGCTGAACACTTTGTAAATATCGTAAATATTTTAAGTTTTTCGATCCTTCTCGGTGTTTGCTGGAATGCGCCCAGGCCGTCATCCCTGTATAAGCCTATTTGTTTTCTGATATCTTCTGGCAGTTTGTTTTAGTAAGTACGATCTCACTAGTTCACAGGTTTCCGCACCGTCATATGAGCCCATTGTAACATCAAATGAAGTTGTTGAATGCTTTTTGTTCCATGGGCCATGGGGTGTTGTCGTTGAATAGAAGTGATTGCTTGGTGTGAAAAATAATTCTTCTATCTTCCGCGGAAATGTCGGTATAGGAAGCCGCGAAAGATAGGGCGTCGCTTAAAAGCTTGTATGAAATGGACGGGTAGAAGTTTACAATATCGAAGGCAATGAACGACTGTTGGTCTTTGTTAGGGATATTGATGAACCAGTCGAGGGTCGCTCTTGTGTTTTTCCATTGATGAACGTTGGTCTTATCGATGACGGCTTTGTTTATCTTATCAAGGGTTTGCTTGCTTACTTTGCCTAACTCTGATTTGGTTGGATTAATCAGGCGGCATTTAGGGTTGTTCTGAAAGTTGTCCTTGTGGTCTTTCAAAGTGATGAATGATTCTTTAGGTGCCAACATTTCAACTCTATCGTCTATCTTTAGGGTTTGGGCTAGATCTTTCGCCTCGGTGTTAATATGCGTTTCGGCGTTAGCGGGGGATTTCTTGTACTCCTTCTCTATGTTTTTGTTCAGCAGTGACTTATAGTCGTTAGCATTCATCTTATAGAAATTCGTGGTTTTATCTGCTGGTACATACAGGTTACTGTCCTTGTTGATGGAATCGACGTGCTGTGATAATTTTTTCTGGAGTTCGGAAGGGTGGGGTGCTTTGAATTCGATGTTTCGGATCAGGTTAGTCATCTTATCTTCGAATTCATTAAGCTCAGACACTTGCGGTGGTGTTTTCTTTTAGTTAAAGCCGTATGTTCCGCGGTGGTCGGACGCTGATAATGTATTAGGGAAGTGGTAGGCGCGCCAGCGCATTCTGTTGCTACGCCTTTCTGTCATTTCAATCAGCCTTTTCAGGTATTCCTTGTTATTCGGTATTGGTATGTTCTTGGTTGAGCAGTTAAAATTAAACTTTTTTATGTCGACTCGTGATAATAGAGTACTCAACTTACGAAGCGTATAGAAACGTAAAAAACCTCATCCTTGAATATATATGATAATATATATATATATATATATATATTATCAATATATATATATATAGCAATAATAATAATATTAAATTAAATCAAATTAAATTAATTTCATTTCATTTTCAATTTGTTAGATTCGCCGACAGGCAGCGACACCACAACAGTTTTGCGCCAATTACTGCGAACCCAGTAAACCCACCCATCCCACCCCAAGGGAGGGGTAGTACACGAGGATG